ACATTTTTTTTTTAACAGAGATCCCGAATATGCACCGCTTACGCGGTGCATATTCGGGATCTCTGTTAAAAAAAAAAACGTGACATAATTAAGCGTGACGGACAATCGCGCAATATTATAGGAAACAACAACGTTGTTGTCGATACAGATATTTATAACAGGATTTTTTCACACCTTTTAACCTTGGATTTTTCCCTAGAAACATCGAAAGAACGACCATCTTATTGTGTTGCTTGTGGTGATTCTACTTGTGGTGACCCTTGTGGCGCCCAAGAATTATATGTTTACAATGACTATTGTGTTGCCAAGGAATCTTCTGTATGTGGTAACGATGTTGCCCAGAATTCTTTTGTTTGCATTGACCCTTCTGGTGCTGATAAAATGTTCGTTCGTTCTGTTGCTAAAGAACCTTTAGTTTGTGATGGCTTTGTTGCCGAAGAACCATTCATTTGCGGTCACCAAAGTGATGTTGAGGAATTTTTTGTTCACAATAACTCTAGTAGTGCTAAGGAACCTTTTGTTTGTGATAATCTTCATAGTATTGAGAAGCCTTTAGTTTGTGGTATTCTTGATGATACTGAGGAAGAATTTTTTAATCACAACCAGGCTAGTGTTTATGACTTTGCTCAAGCTGACGACAATCATCAACCAGTTATTTTTCATGATCAGCATTTTGGTGTTCACGATCTTGATGAAGTTAATATTGACGATTTTAACCAAGAAATGACCTTTGACTATATATCTGAAAATCATTTTGTTAATGGATTTCAAGAAACTGAGGCTGATAATGGATCGTTACATCAAATAGTAGTTGGAATGGTTTTTGAAAGTTGGGAAAAAATCGATAAGTATGTAGTTTAATAAGTAAAATTATGCATATTTTGTGGGTTAACAAACTAAAGCTTTTTTTTATTGTTAGATGGTTAAAATTTTATGCACTGGAACAAGGGTTTGCTTTTATGATAACTCACAGTGACAAGGATAAAGGTGATAGCATACCCTGATGATATACTTATGCATGTTCAAAAGGTCGATCATATGTTCCAAAAAAGGATGCATACACAAAAAAAAGTCGTAATACAGGACATAACACCGATGGTTGTAAATTTAGTGTTAATACTTATCTTCAAAAGAGTGATAATCTAATTCGCATAACGAACGTCAATTACCAGCATAACCATGAGCTTGTAAAGAACATAAACATCCTTGCACCATGTTATAGAAAACTTACATTAGCAATGTGTGATGATATAAAGTTACTATCAGCATGTGGTGCGAATATTGGTGTGATAATTGAAGTCTTGCAGCGTAAAAATCCTGAATCATATATTCATCCACGCAGCGTTTATAGCTTCGTTCAGTCTATTCGTCACGAAAATTTTGTCAAAAGCGATGCCGGTTCTTTATACCTAGAACTGATGAAACAAAAACAAGAAAATCTAACCTTCCATGTTGATGTATGTTTTGAAGGGCAAGACAACCATCTAGCAGGACTTTGTTGGATGAGACCTAGTCAACAAGAGCTTTGGGCTCATTTTAATGATATTATTCTTCTGGATACAACAGCAAAAACCAATCATTACTCAATGGTTTTGTGTGTTATAGTGCTCGTAGATAATCATAATCGCTCTCGCATTGCAGCGACAGCCCTTCTTTCAGATGAAACAAAAGATAGTTTTACATAGCTATTTAATAGTCTTATGAATGCAACTGGAGGGCTTGCACCAACTTTACTATATACTGATGCTGATCCCGCTATGATTGCTGTGGCAAATACTTCCTGGCCAAATACAAAGCATCATTTTTGCTTATTTCATATCAGAAAAAATCTAGAAAAACATTTTATAAGTAGATACCAGGATGATAAGTGGCGCAAATTTTTTTTCTCATTTTGTCATATGCGCAATAGTCGTGTAGAATCAATTTTTGAGGAAAGGTGGGATACACTATTAAAGGAATATGCCGATGCTGCTAGTTATCTACAATATTACTTATATCAATGTTGGGAAGCTTGGGCTCTTTGTTTCACACACCGTGCATTTAATGCAGAAATACAAAGTACCCAGCATATTGTATCATATAACAATATTATTAAAAAACATGTTAATAGAACTTCGTCACTGTTAGAACTTGAAAAAGTAATTGAAAGATTATTAATAAAAGAAAGTCAATTTATCAAGTTTAATGAAGCTATTGGTAAGCTACCTGCAAGCCGAGATGAGGACTATCATAATCATTATTTCAGAAAAATTAATACATTATGCCAACGTTATTTAATACCGGCAATTCTTAAACTTCAACAACATGAAATGAATCGAAGTATGCATTATCAATATCGGTTAACTAGTTTGGATTGCGAACTTGGGCAACAGGTATAAACTATAATTATTATTGTAAAAAAATACTTCATGCCACTTCAGTTTTAACCCTGAAGTGTGTGTATATATTTTACTATAGCCTAAAGCATTTTGTTAACAATCACTATAACAAAAGTGTTTTACTTTTTTTCTTTGCTTTAGGTTAATTTGGATTCACCAATGGGTATATTTTCTGAAGACATGTTTGATGCGTGTTTAATAGAGCTTAACCATCTTATCTCAGGTCTTGATCTAACAAGGATTCATGAAATTTGGCACGTTCGTTCTCTTGATAAAAGGAGTGAACATTTTATTGTATTGTATGATGATACTGAACATTTATATACATGTTTAACATTAATTAATCGTGGCCTTGTATGTTGACATTTGTTTGCCACTATGCTTGTTTCACCAAATGCTAAATTTCACATTAGACTTGTGCCAAAACACTGGTACCAGGACTCATTTGTACTCAGAGCTGATTTTTTTGCTGAGCCTGCAATTTCAGTAATTTCAGATGAAAATTTTGGTGAAGTTGAGTATGATGCTATCAACATTAATTTTTCTCATTTGGAAAATATCTGAGGGAGTCATGTTTTTATTACTGAGACTTCTGAAGAGATGACTCAAAAGCAACAATGGGGAAAAGGATTTGGAATTATGAAAAAAACATTAAATTTGGCACTTGCAACTGGTAGGATGGAAGAACTTTATGAAATCCACAAAAACCTTACTATCGATATAGAGAATGAAATTACAAATGAGAGTAGGAACGGTGATAATATTGCAGAATTTGCACTTGCTATCAATAATCCTATAGAAATTAAGACAAAAGGTCGACCAAAAGGATCAAATCATGTAAACATAAATAAAGATAAAAGAAAGCAAGCATTTAGTTCTAGTCAAAATAGCAGGGCGAATAAGATTAGAAGGCCTTGGAAAGTACTAGGTGATATTGATTTAAATGGTAGTGAATCTAGCAAAAATAATGGAAGAAAATGTGGCATTTGTAATGTAGAGGGGCATAATACACGTACTTGTCACTTGGGTAATTAATGTAATATCAAAGGGATCTGATTCTTTATGCTTAAAAATCGTGAACTGTATAGATATTCAAACTAATAAATATTTGTATTGTATATCTGCATAACTAATTTAATTGAATTGGTAAATTTATTTGATAAGAAGAGAATCACATTACAAAAAAATTTTAAATTATGATAAAATTCATATTGCTAATCTAGGGTTGGTTTTTTGGATATGGTTAAGGTTTCAAGGTATGACTTATACCAATTTTACAAAGAAATAACTACTTTTTATTAGTATGTAAAAGGTAGTTTCATAGACTAATTTTGAGTTATTATCAATTTTTATGTTTTGACTTGCATTTTTTGCACCTGATCTTAAATTTGATTGATATATGAAATTTTTGGGTTTGGTTTTATTGTTTAATTGAAACCTGTATATATTAGTTGGGCTACTTTCAATAGAAATTAGGCTGATTTGTTTAATAAATTGATCTAATTTCTATTGATCGTTAGCCTACAAGCAAAAAGCTAAAGCGATTTTGTATATACAATAACTAATCTATAGATTGCCATTTCTAATGTTAGTAATTAGCACTAATTTTATCTATATTGTATATTCTGTAGCTCTGTTATTAATTTAGGGTCAGGTTTTGTTAGTGCGTAATTTTTTAATTAGTTTAGAATTTTTGTTAGTACACAACTTTGCGATTAGTTTAGAATCAAGTTTTATTCAAGCTTTTGTTAATATGCAGCAATAACTTTACTGTTAAAAGTATTTTATTTATATTGTAGTTATTATATTTGTAAATATATTATTGTAATATAGATATAATAATTATATACTTAATTTTGATTGGTCAAAAATATATGTGGTATTGAACACCAGTGGTGTGATTTATAAATGTCCTTTCCGCAGGTATGTGAAACAATTTTCAGGTGAAAAAATGTATGGTCTTTTATCACTATAAAATTTTTATACTAGAACATTGTACATAAACAATATATTTTAATTTGCTGATTACATATTTTTATTTCATATTGGATAATTCAATTATTAATTGTTAAAAATGATTTATTAAATGAACAATTTCATATTAATTAATAATTAGAAATTCCCATTACTAGCTGTAAGTTGAATATAAATCTGTCATCCATTTATGACATTCATTCTTTTTTAAAAATTGGATAACCGATGTATTAGGGATTACTAAGATAACTGTAACCAACAATATAAATTAGAAAATTTCTATTTTTACAAATAGACTTTCCCTAATATTTATACTATTGATCTCCATAGAACTTCAAATGAATTTATGTTATTGATTACCTTAGAACTTGCGATAATGAAAGATTTGAAATATTGTTCTCGTGCTTGAATAGAATTTTTTGATTTATACTCTTAACAAAAATAACTCAATATAAAAACAATTGAAAATATATCAAGTCAGCAAAATTTTAAAGAATTTTAAAACTGTATAATAGTAACAATTCACACATCACTTATCTGCATCATTATTGATTTATGATATATTAGAACTTTATTGTCTAGAATTACAATTATATATATGCATATTACAAATTGAATAAATTACTTTATCATATGAGATACTTGTAAACAGTGTTTAAAATTCGAATTTGATTTTATATTCTCAAAAAAAAATTTTCTGAATTCTTAAAAATTTTTAATATTTTCAGTATTAGAAAGTTAAAATTTTTAATATTAAAAAAATTGGTTAAATATTCTCTAATAGAGAACATTTTCCAATAATTCATGTCCATAAAACTTGATAAATGTTCTTAGAGAACATGAGAATATTAAATTTTAAACACTGCATGTAAAATAATTTATTTGATAGTGATATATCAAAAAGACACTTTAAACAATAAGCAATGGCACAGTAAATGGCCGGCAAATTACTATGGTGTTTTCAACCCTGATCTGTATTGCACTCTCATTTTTTTACAAATATTTTAACGCCCTTAACAATAAATCTAGATTAATAATAAATAGTTATCAGGTGACCGATTATCCGTATAAATTAATAAGTACCCGAATCGAACAGGTTGTGATACCCATAAACGGTTCTGGGTTAAATTCCCGAAGTCCATTTTTCTGAAATACTATTTCTCTGAAATCAATTTCATTAACAGGGCATAGCTGGATCAGTATTATTTCACCGACAAGCAATTCACCGAGAAGTTTATTTCGTCGACAAGTTTTATTAAAATTGCACTAACCTTAACTCTAATTTTAAACTGACCTAATAACAAGGACCGGAATTACTTGTCGATAAAATGACTAAACTATCAGTTAAATAAACCATCGATGAAATAAACTGCTGGTGAACTAAGTTGTCGGAAATGAGCCTTGTCGAGAAAAAGGGATATTAGAATTATGGATCGGAGAAATAACATTTCGTGATTTAGGGAAAGTGTGCAACAACGCTCATTACTCGAATTGGTCAGGTTACCTTTTATTAATAAATAAGTTAAGAATGGAATTATGATATTTGGCGGCGATTACCGTTAATCATTTGACTAGTTACAAATCAAAAAATCAATATTGAAAACATGTTTACAATTGTTATGCTAATTGGCCTACGACTACCAAATTCCTATTTATGTATTTATGTGCGTATCGTATGCACGTATGTTATTTAATGTTACGGCTAAAGTTGGAAATTAGGGATCTCGATTTAAAATATAAACCTACCAAAATTCAATTATACATTTTTATTATCAAAACTAACCCTAATCCTTAGCTAACTATAAAAAAAAGTTAAAAAATGCACCTCAAAAATTTATAAAGATTTCATATTAAAGCATTTAAAAGTTTCAGCTTCAGCCGCGACATTTATTATTAATTAATCTAAATGTATAATATATAGGCGCATGTATCAAACAATAGATAGTTAGCATTTAGGATCATGCGGACCAATCATATTTAAGATTTTGCGCAGTAACATCTGTTGAATTTCCGTATAACCATGCACTTCGTGATTTGCATCTAGTGATTGAACCCGTCTTAAAAGTACAACCCGGGTTACCCGACGGGTAGACCCACGGGTCACCCGGGTAGATCGACGGGTCTACACGGGTCAGAAAAAAAATATTAAATCATTAAATATCGTATTACGTTATATACAAGACCCCCTTTGATATAGACACCGTGAATTAGACCCATATATGAACCAATCACAGATTCGGTCATCGATTTTGAGGTATTCAATCATCAGTTCTGATTTTTAGAATCGACCTACACTCCTAATATAAACCTAATCCGAAATTATTATCAGTGAGAATTGGTGAGGTTGTAGAGTAGCAGTCATAGGAGGAAGATCGTCTGATTGGCAATTGCTCGGGTAACTTATTTAAAGTATTTTTTATAATCACTAATAAACAATCGCCACAAAAGCCATTTCTAGCTTAAACGAAAGTTAATATTCACTGTAAAGTAATCTAAATAATCTTATCTTGACGAACTTTGCTTAGAAGACAAAACATACCTACCGCTTATTTGATGATCTTAAATATACTGAAATAAAGATAAGTGAGAACGTTTTGTTCAAGACTGCCTTATTTAAAAAAACTTTTTTGGTTCTTGCGTTGTGTTTGGGTTCGTCAGTCGTAATAAGTTTTGGTTTATAGATCGTAGATTGTATACCAGGAACGTTAGTGTATGGTTTTACTGGCATCTAAATCGAAGGCAAAATCTTAAAGCTGATTGGATTATACGTTTGTGCAGATCACGATTTTCTCATGACACTAATTTTGGAGATCAGTTTTTTCACGCATGACTCTAATTTGTCGCTTTAGCTTTTTATAGACTGTTTTTGTAATAATTGCTGCATTGTCTCAGGTTTTTCTTGGTTAGATGATGATCGCATATGATTGTGACGAACTGATATACGTATAACTGTTAGTACCAGTACGATCACATGAAATGTGAGAGGATGGTTCCGTTCAACTTTTTGGGCGTGGCCTAGCAAATTTTGAAAAAATCCTATTTTAGAAGGGGTAATGATTTTCATTATCCATTTTCAGAAGGAGTTAAGATTTTTACATACCGTATTACATGATTCCGCATACGTATATATCACTCATTATGATGCAAAGCTGACATCACTAATTATTTCGAAATTTATCTAATTATGATGCAACGTTAATGATCAAATTTTTACGCTATTGACAAAATTTAATTTACTGACAGTTATTTTACCGACACTCGTTTCGTAAACACAACATTTACCGAAAATCAATTCATTGACATTCTGGGACACCTAAAAATTTTCTTGTTTCCCAAAACCTTTTCGATCCTGTTCTAAGAATCACCTAACTTTTCGGAAACCACTTTGCTGTCTCCATAGTGAAGTCTCAAGGTCAACGAAGTAGTTTTTGAAAAGTTAAGTGATTCTTAGAATGGGATCAAAAAGGTTTCGGGAAACAAGAAAATTTTTAGGTGTCCCAAAATTTATGAAAACAGCCATAATTCATTCAATTCACCGACAATTAATTCACCGACAAAGTAATTATACCAGAATTATGGTTAAGGTTAGTGAATTAAGCTTGTCAGTGAATTGAGTGTTGGTGAATTAAGCTTGTCGGTGAATTACAGCTGTTTCATAAATTCTGAGGCACCTAAAAATTTTCTCATTTCTGAAGTCTCTTTCGATCTCATTCTAAGAATCATCTACCTTTTCGGAAGCAACTTCGCTGTCCTTGAAACTTCGATACAGTGGATCTACCCCAGTGGCAATCATGTTTAAGATAAACAAAAAAACTTTTTTTCAGTATGCATACATGTTCTTTATAGTTAAAAGGACCTACAAAAATTTGCACAAAACAGTTACACATGATACTTATAATGTATACGCACAAGATTCCAATATTAATATTTGTTAAGTGACTAACCTGGATTTAGATTAAATTCCCACTTTCCAATACGAAATAACCTATTCGGTAGGAGCCTTTCCAACCATTTTCCAAAAATAAAGGACGCAAGTATCACAAAGAACATAGAATAAGTCA